ATTATATTGATAATATAAAAGATATTGAATTGAGTTAAAGTTGTGTTATATTTTGAGTATGAATTGAGTAACGATTGAGATATTTCATATACAAATTACAAACACGCCATCAACTTCTGAATTCCAATCTATACTTCTTTGAGTATTTTTTTTATTAATAAGTAATTTTTCGGTGAAATTTTGATGAACATTCAATTACAAGTATGGACAAACTTACAACAAAGGGTCCACAGGCTATAGCCCAGGTGGGTATATGATGGAAATTTTTTACGTAACCTACAGAAATTGAAAATTTTGCAAATTTATCATCCATAAATAAGTAATTGTGTTTCTACCTAATTGTCAAAATTTAGCTACATTTATGCCTAAAATTCAGTTGCCTAAAAAGTGGACTCATGATTTCCACCGTTTTAAAATAAAAAAATCAGTTACATTTAACTATAAGTATTCTACCATCCATAGTAGGTCACATGATTTTCGCCGTTTTCAAAAAAAAAAAAAAAAAAAAAAAATTATCTTCATTGATATGGAATGAAAATTAGAAAACTAACTGTGTTGCGGAGGAAATGGAAAAATAGGAAATTCAAATTTGAAACTCGTCATTGATATGGAAGTGTATATCTTAGGTATGTTTTATCTATATGTGGGTTCTGAATGAGATCTCAGTTCAGAGATCGAGTGTATATCTTAGGTATATTTATGTATATGTGGGTTCCGAATTCAATTTTGAGAAACGATTGAAACTCGGGTGTATAATTAAAGTATATTCTATGTATATGTGTGTCCCTATCTTTCGTTGGCTTGAATTACGAAAATCTCAAGTGTATATTTCATGTATATTTTAGGCATATGTGTGTTGTACAACTTTGGTATATACTGTATATACCCGCAACATGTAAATTTTCATATATGATGGTATAATTTCGTACCCGAAACATATAAATATTCATACCCCGAAACATATACAGAAAATATATTGTATATACCCGCAAGATGTATAGAATAGAACTAACTATCAACGAATCAAGCATACCAAGTGTTCGAAAATTATCCTCTGAGAAGTTTTTCGTCAAAACGAATTCAATCATGGCCAAAACAACACCAAATTATTGGTCAACAAGAATATGAATACCAAAAACAATACCAAGTTATTCGTAAAAAACGGTTTCAAGAACACCAAGTTTTCGTCAAAATGAATATCAAAACAACATAAACAAAAATGAAAAAAAAAACAATTTTCTCATTTTTCGTGCGCGCCGGATTTGAACTTGAACATCGAGAAGTCGCGGCTGCACTCCTTCAGCGAGGTCTCTATGCGGTTCATCTTCTTGTTCTTTGACGATTTCTTGAGAAGGGCCCCGGTGGTGGGGTTTGGGTCAATCGTCTTCATCGTCTCGAGCTTTTCGGAGGCTCTTGTCGATGGTGGACTCGAGGGACTTGTAGGATGCAATGCGGTAGATGAGCAGCCACGAGATGGCTTCACACGACGACTTTGCAGAGGGAGATCCCGACGACGATGAGGCTGTCGGAGTATTTGAAGTCAGAGTTTAGTCTTGGTCGTAGACGAGTAAATTGGGAGAAAGGGTTGAGCGGTCTTGGAGAGAGAGAGAGAGAGAGAGAGAGAGAGAGAGAGAGAGAGAGAGAGAGAGAGAGAGAGAGAGAGAGAGATGAACGAAGAGGGTGGGGTGGTTTGAAGTGAGAGAGTGAATTAAACATCCAATTGTTTAGGTTAGTAGATAATTAATTTGAATTAAGGATCTCATTTGCATTGAATTTGTTTGAACTTGGGTAATAACAGTTACGGGTAAAATTGAAATATTTTTGGCTTGTTTAGGTAATTTTATAAATAAGAATATAAGAGGTATATAAGAGTAATATAAATCATATATGATGATAAAGGGTGAAAATTCCTCATAATCGGTTCTTGGTGAGAGAACGTCAAAGAGATACATTGAATTAGATTGAAATTACACACTTCTTACTCATATGTTCCTTAATAGTATCAATAAAAATCTTTTCCATGTATATGGTATACATCGTTGAAAAAGAATGTACAAAACAATAAAGAATAAGCATGGAATACGAGAACATAAATGTGGAAGAGAATTAATTGTATCCCATAAGAGAAAAACAATTATAACGGCCGAAGTAAGAAATAATGACACTCCTTATCTATTTGCTCATAGAGTTTATATAACTACTCCCTCTTATTATTTAGATGCAATTACCTTTTCTGTTTCCAATTATACTCTTTTGTGGATTCTTTTAGATTTTAAAAAATCTGTACTTTTTAATACCCGTGAAACGGTTTATCATCCCCTTTATATCTATCATTCTTTCCCGTAACCTACCCTACCCCTTTTTTCCTTCTCTCCTTATGTCGGATGGCTGGTTACAGAGGATGAGGCTGGATGATGGAGCCTAAAACAATGACAAATTTGATTCTCGTTGACGGGAGGCTGGAGGATGTGGCGGGCAGTGGTGGCGTAGGTGTGCCCCAGCCGCGGGTGTGACGACCCAGTGCAGACTTCTGATTTCCGATATTTAGAAGAAAGGTAAGGATTCGAGTTCGATTAATATTGCTTCAAGTTTCGATTTAAATTTTGTAGAGCCGAACCCTTTCTAAACCAGAGACTTACCTTGAGTCCAACCTTAATTTTTTGAGCCGATTGAACCCTGTATTTCGTCGATTTCTGAAGAAACTTGAGATTTCCTTGTTGATTAGTTTTTGAAGTATGATTTTTCGTATGTGTTCATTTTATTGGAGTTCTTAGTCTGAGGCGAATTGTTTGTTTTATGAGAATATGTTGTAATTTTATTTATGGAGATTAAACTTGTTTGAAAATATAATGTGGCTACGAAATTTTTAAATATTTTCAGGATCCTTCATTATTGAGTTTATAAGATTAATATTATTTTTTATGTTTTTTTATGTTGACTGGTTGTGCTGCGGCAAAATTTTAGTTATTCTCATGTTTTTATCATGTTGCTTTAAAGTTTTTTTTTTTTTTCATGTTGCCTTTTCAATTTAAGTTTTTTTTTTTTAATATAATCCACATATTTAGTTGTTGTGTTATTACTTAGTTGTTGCTCTGTTTCTTGTTTATATCTTTTTCGCTTTGGATATATCTAATTTCAGACCTCTTATAATATATGTTTATTTTGTAATTTTTAATTTTTTAACATTAAGAAACAATGACAGAAATTGATGAAAATCAAATCATATTGCAGACGACGTAGTACTAATTGATCATTTTTTTTTTTTCTCTTTTGTTTTTATGTTGAAGAAGAAGAAGAAGCAGAACATAGCAAAAAACGAAGTGTGAGAAGGGAGTGAGAAGGAAAAAGAAAAGAGAAAGAGAGAGAAAAAAATGAGTTATTGTTTTAAATTTTGATTAATGTAACTTCTTATTAAAGAATTTTTGGAATTCCTCATAGACTTTTTTGAAATTCTCATACCTGTTGGTATTTGTAGGATTGTGTATTATAAATGGGACAGTTATAAAAATTTGTGGAATTTTTATTTATACTACATGATTTAGAAAAAATTATAATTTTACTAGGGGTCAAATTTTATTTGCAAGTTTACCAATTTTATGTTAATTAATTATACATATACACTACAACAGAATATTTTCAGTTACCATATTTAATGTAACCACCTCCTCAAATGATGGGATTTTCAGCTACGGGTATATTGCGTGTCAATTTTTTTCCATTTCAATTCCACGCAGTATATATTGCGTATATATTCAGTATATAAACTAATTAATATATCTGAAAAAACATGTATTATCTTCATTTTGAAACTGGTTTATGTATATATGTAGTATATTTTCTGGGTTTTTTTTTTTCGATCTGATGTTTATATATATATATATATATATATATGTATATATATATATGGGGTTTATATAAAAAGATACCTAACATTATACCGAACATATACATAACATATACTATTTTCTAGAATTAAATATGTATACCGAACATATATTATTTTCTGGAATTATATATATATACCGAACATATACCGAACATATACAGAACATATACTGAAAATAATTTCAGATCCATGCGTCGAGTTGTTCGTAATTCTCAGGAATTTCATTCCAATTTCGATCTTCACCCGTCTATTTGTTGAACGACTCGTAGCCATCGTCTTCTTCATACTTAGGCGTCGTTTCTTTTCATCCTCAGTGTGCATCTATACCGGCACCGCAACTGGGAGAATTCACCGGTTATTGGAGGGATTTTGGTTTTCACCATAGAAATTGGTTCTAGGGTTTAATAAGAATGAAGTTGAGAAGAGGATGCATCTGTCGTCAGATGATGGTGAATCGATCCTAGACAACCGGACTTCAGAACTCAACCGATCAAAAAATGAAAAAGAAGAAAAAATTTAGTTGGAGAGGAAGAGAAAAAAATAAGCGAAGAATTCTAAAAAAGATGAAGAAGAAGAAGAGACTCAAGAGAGAGAGTGAAAGAGTGCGTGAGTGGGGAGATGAGAAAGTGTTCTAGGAGATGTGGATGTCTTTTTTTAATATTGGTAACTGCTCCCATTAACTAAATATTAATTGAAGATAATATATTTTATTGTCTAAACTAAAAGTCTGGTATGTTTGTAATTAAAATGGCATAAAAATCTAAATTTGCTAAAGTTTTTTATCTGATAGTAAGCGTGTAAAAAAGTTGTTGGTTCATTGTTCCCTGAGTAATTTCCTCTAAAAATTTCCCCCGAGGTAATTATCTCAACCGATTATAGGCTAAAGTCAAGAGAGGCCCAAAGAGAACTCAGGCATTGGCCCATTTTAACAGTCCAAGCCCTAAAGTATAAACACAAGAAGAATAAAATAAAAAATAAAAAAAAAGTAATAATAAAAGAACAAAACAGGATGAAGATGCAAGTTTAAACCCTAAACCCTGAAATTCAACGTTCGTCTCCTCCAGCCCAAGCCAAATTCTCCGCCTCCGGCCGCCGGCAAGGAGCCAAGTGAAAAATGGTGAAGATATACTATAGGTACAAGGCCGCGTCGGCGTTTGGGGTGATAGTGTCGGTTGACAGCAATATAACATACGACAGCTCCGGCAAGCACCTATTGGCGGCGGCGCTAGAGAAGCTCGCCGTGTGGCACGTGCGTCAGGGGAGCTGCATCAAGGCATTATCTCCGGCGCCCACCTCCTCTTCTCGCGGCCCCTCTCTCGCAGTCACCTCCATCGCCTCGTCTTCGTCTACTCTGGTACTACCAACAAATATATGTCTTTGTTTGGTTACTATGGCTCTATCTTTGCATCTTTTCTTCATTAAACAAATTTTGTACAGATGTCCTTTTCTTTTTATTTTGATTCTTCTGTTGAAATGGGAATAATGGAGGATGTGCTTGGTTTGTTTGCAGATTGCAAGTGGGTATGCTGATGGTGCTGTAAGAATATGGGATGTTGACAAGGGAACATGTGAAACCACTTTGAATGGACATAAATCTGCAGTTACAGTCCTTCAATTCAACAAGCTTGGATCTTTGATTGCTTCTGGAAGCAAAGACTGTGACATTATTTTATGGGATGTTATTGGTGAAGCTGGGCTCTTTCGCCTTCGGGGCCATCGTGATCAGGTTTTTTATAATTCTTATAGATATCTAAGTCATATTTCTGCTTTATGCAAGAATCCAATCATATTTATTTTTTTCCCCAACTTTGGAACAGAAGGATTCTGATAATTGTTCCTTTTCATCCAACAGGTCACTGACCTTGTGTTCCTCGATTCTGGTAATAAATTGGTTAGTTCATCGAAAGACAAGTTTTTGAGGGTATGGGATCTGGAAACCCAGCACTGTGTACAGATTGTTAGTGGCCATCACAGTGAAATATGGTCCATTGATGTTGATCCTGATGAGAGGTATCTGGTAACTGGGTCGGCAGACCTGGAGCTCAGATTTTTCACGATTAAGAATGATTTGGCTGATGAAAAACCCGGGCTGGCGAATATTGAATCTGATGTTGGCAATGGAAATGCACCTGTGCAGAACAAATGGGAAGTTCTGAAGCATTTTGGTGACATACAGAGGCAGAGCAAAGATAGAGTGTCTTCTGTGAGGTTCAGCAAGTCCGGGAATTTGTTGGCTTGTCAAGTAGCTGGGACGATGGTCGAGATGTTTCACATGTTGGATGAGTCTGAAGCTAGACGCAAAGCAAAAAGAAGAGTGAACAGGAAGGTGAAGAAAATCTCAAAGGGAAATACCAATACTACCGAAAACGGAAAAACAAATGTTGAAGTTGAAGAGGGGGCTGAGGTTACGGTTACAGTCCCAGATGTCTTTAAACCACTACAGGTGATACGTTCCAGGAAGAAGATATGCTCTATGTCTTTCTGTCCTATCACTCCAAAAGGTTCCATGGCAACTTTAGCATTGTCTTTAAACAATAATATGCTAGAATTTTATTCAATTGAAAGCACTTCGGCAGCAAAAACAAGTGCCATTGAACTACAAGGACATCGTTCAGATGTGAGAAGTGTCACTCTTAGCTCGGACAATAGTCTTTTGATGTCGACAAGTCACAGTGCTATTAAGATATGGAATCCTAGTACTGGAACTTGTCTCCGAACTATTGATTCAGGGTTTGGATTGTGTGGCCTATTTGTCCCAGGTGATAAGTATGCAATTGTTGGCACAAAAAATGGGACTCTGGAGATTATTGATGTCCGAAGTGGTACTGGTGTCGAAGTTATCGAAGCTCATGGTGGGTCTGTTCAGTCTATTGTTGCAACAGCTGATGGTTTTGTCACAGGGAGTTCGGACAAGGATGTCAAGTTTTGGGAGTACCAAATTGCCCAGAAAACCGGTGAAGTATGTGCCAAATACAAGTTGCTGTTCTCTTTTCTCATTTTGTTAGTTGCAACTGATTTTGTTTGTCAACTAACATAACAATTGATTGTCCATGTTATAAAATTTTCACGAGATATTCCCTTGTGTTTTTTGAACGCAACTTAACTAGTACAAATTTCATTACTGTGGGTTTGCAGGATTATAAACATCTGACAGTATCTCCGGTGAGGAATCTGAAAATGAATGACGATGTTGTGGCGGTGGCAGTCAGCCCAGAGGGTAAACATATTGCTGTTTCCTTGTTGGACTCCACAGTAAAGGTTGGATTGTGCGTGTGTGTGTGTTTTTCCTTTTCTTTTTAATTTAAACTTCATCTCCTATGTCATGCTGTTAGATATAACTAGTGCGTATCCCGTGCGATGCACGGGTATATAAATTTAGAGAATAGTATAATTTGATATGCATTAGATATATGAGAGTCTGATATATACGAACATCATTCATCACACAATGTTCCTCACGAAAAACATTTATATTATTAAAAACCTCTTTGTACACAACATTATGAGTTTGATTATTGGGTAACTCGTTGTGAGGAGCACGGGCCGATTCCAACCAGACGCGGGCTGCACAAAGGGCTGCGGAAACTGGCGTCACTCAATTGGGCTCCCTGGCTGGGCTTCTCTCTTGGGCTGTGAATGCTGATTGTTGTCGTAGAAAAAATTGCCCCCACGCTTGGACTACTTTTCTAATTTCCAACTGTATTATAAATTATATTTTATTCCTAATTTAACTCTTTCATTCCTATTCTATGTAGAGTTATTGTACCTTCTCAGCTATACTAATAAAGTATATTTTTAGTTTGAATCATATAACTTCCTTAATAGTGAGTTGAATAATTTATAGATTGATACATAATATAATGATTCTCTCTAATTTCTCTCCCCTCTCCCTTTTTCATAATCCATATTTCACAATTTTCTCCAAATAAAACAAAAAATTACATACAACAATTATTAGGTTGACCATCAAATAAATCAAAATAAGACTGTAAATAAACGTAAACTTTTCCTATTAATTGCAATGTTTCAGGTTCGACATAAAATTAGTTTGTTTTTTATTAATTGTTTATGAATAGGCTATCTATCTTAATTTTGTTCAAAGTTATCATTGATACGTGTTTAGAGATATAAAAGATGACATTTTCTTTAGTAACTAACCACCAAATTTAAATGATTTTTTGTCACAGCTACTAACATCTTTTTGTTTGTTCGATTTTCTATTGAAATTTGTGAGCTGATATTAGATAACAATTTTCAGTTAACAACTTGACTACTTTTCATAATTAAGATCCTTCCCCCCAAAAAATAAATCCAATAATTTTATTTTGGGGGAGTGGATCTTAATGATGAAAAGTAGTCAAGTTATTAACTTGAAAACAATCGTAAAGTAAAAGAACATTAACAATTAGTATTTTCATTAAGTATGAAAATAATCGTAAAGTAAAAGAACATTAACAGTAATTTAGAGACTATCATTGACAGGCCTTGCATATGAAGCCCAAGTGAAACACAATTGAACCCTTTGCACAGTCCAAACAAAATTTGATTAATTTAATTTCGGCACAAATCTATTAAATTTTTTAATGAGACTAAGATTGCATATTGGGTCGTAGATTAAGATTGGAAAGTTTTAACATGAGTTTATTTCGACTAATGTGTAAGTTAGTTGGGTGGAGATCTTTTAAACATTTGTTGTTATATATTCGTGTATCTATATTCACCAGTTTTATAAACACGTGATATATATTTTTATATTACGTGTTTATAAATTTAAAATATTTAATAAATAAATTGATTTATGTATATCTAAATTTTATTTTGTATGAATCTTGTGTATATCGGAGGTTATATAATTCACAACTTTTTAAGGGAAAAAATAGTTCTTAAATAAATTGATTCATGTTTATCTAATTCATATTTTTATGGATCATGTTTATCTTTTTGGATTAAGACAATCCTTCTCTTGCTTTGATTATCTAACTTTTAGAAATTGTTGCAGATTTCTTAGATTTTTGAAATTCGAATTCAATACAAAATTGAGTATCAAGAATCATATTTTCAGTCAATTGTTAATAACTTTGTTATGGGTTTCGAATATATATATATGTAGATATATTTGAATTGTAAATTAAACCAAATTTTTTATATTAGTTATTTTAAATTTTAAAACATTGATTTACTGGATACCATAAAGTGGAACTCAATTCAAAATTGAGTTCTTAAAAACGATTAGAGTTTCAGTCAATTTTTAATTGGAGATTTTTGAAATACAAAGTGTAACAAATTCTATATATTAGAAAGTTTCATATGCAATTAGAGTTTTAGAGTTTTGTAACGAATCCTACAATTTATTTTGATATGAAATTCCAGTGTTAATCTGATTAGTATTAATAAAATACTATCCGATTATTATATCACATTAATAAAAAAAATTGCAATCTTTAAATAGCAAACATAAAGTTTTGTAGTATAAATTTTAATTTAATATTTAAAAATATTGTGTGACAATAATGATGACTTTTGTAAAATGAGCAAATCAATATATATGTTAATCGGTTTTCAAATAAAAAAATGATATTAAATTTAATACAAAACACTACCACATATTTATGGGAGAAAAAAAAACCTGCGGATTATCATAATTCAGCAAAAAACTTAGATTTGAAATCAACGAATCCTAAAAATTAAGGGTAACATTTATTAAATATGTTTTTTTTTTTTTTAAAAAAAAACATATTTCCCAATGCAATTAATGTCATATTCCCCCAATGAATCAATTTTTTTTTTAAAAAAAGTTTTTTAATTAATGTCATATTTCCCCCAGTGCAATTAAAAGTTTCAATCCTAATGAGAATCCAATATGTAAATAAATTGTACACGTGAATATCTAAACTTTTAGCGGATTTTGTGTTGAAAAAAAAAATCAGATTTATATGTAAAACAAAAATTCCGATATTGTTGTGGGAAAGTTTAAACAAAAAAGGCAATCCAATTTGTTGTTGAACGCCTATTTAATTGTGCACGCTATAATTAAGGGAACACTACATTTAAGGAGCGATTTTTTGTGCTTATTAACAATCTATAATTAAGGGAACACTGCATTTAAGGAGCCATTTTTTGTGCTTATTAACAATTGTACAACTATTACTATAATTAGAATATATTTAATATTTTGGAGGGAAAAACTTGCTATATTTAAAAAATGGTAATTCTTTTTATATAGATATAGATGTCCCAAATGGTTGGTGATCTATAAAACTCATTTACCTGTTCTTGGGATAATGACCATGATTGCTGAGTGCTCCAAATAACATAGACACTAGTTTTTAACCCGTGCATTTGCACGGAAAATATTATAATAGAACAAAAATAATAAAAAGATATAAACAATAATAAAAATCATAATATTATCATTGGAAAAATGTTCTAAAAAAGAATAACTAAATATTGTTATATAATTCTTTATATACAACGTTTATGGTTTTTCTATCAACAGAATTTTCATCACTACAAATCATTATCTTCAAATTAAGACATATAATGATTTTATTTGTTTAAATAATTATTGTATCTTGTACTATAGATCATATAGGAAATTTAAAAAAAAAATATTATAAAAATACCAGCAAAATATTACGAAATAAATAATTGTATTTGGTTGATAAATAAAGATATGTGTCAAATATTTAAGACATTTGAACAAAATGGCAATTGTTGGGCCATAAAGAAATATATTGATTGAATGATGTAAAACAGGTCAATGATAACATGACTATAAATAGAGATAAACTCCTCGAGTGATGTAAGCCAATTTTTTTGTTTGATGTCGGCGCTTCTTTCGTTATTCACTCTGTCTGAAACCCTAATCATTAACTCGATCTTACGACAAACTCGGCGATATTCAATACAAAATAAATATTTTACCGGAGATTTTCTCCCAGTAGAGACTTAAAAAATAAAAAATAAAAAAAATCCGAGAAATGTTGTTTTTGTAGCCAACAGTAGTGATCGAAAAATAAATATTTGTCCCGATTTCTTAATTTGTGTTGCTAAATATTAACAGGTCAGTCAAAATCGGGCGATAATATTACAAATCTATGAAGAGCTGAAATATTTTTTGTTAAACATAGTTTTTATTTTTTATTATTTTCAATGATCTGCGTCGTTTTTTGAAATTCCTTTTGAATAAGCTTTAAAGATATATCATATTTTATTCATAATTCGAAATTTTCTAGATGTTTTTCGAAATTGTTTTTCGAAGAGAACATGACATTGGTCGAACATTTTCAAAGTTTTATGTACTTTGTTCAGGGTTTGAAAAATAGGTAAGTTTCTAACAGATCTGTTTAACTCTACTAACAAATGTATAAATAAGTTCATAACATATCTGTTCGTATATGTTTATAACATACATATGTAACTTTTATGTATTTTGTTTAGATTTTGAACACTAAATAGTTCAATTCTTTCTCGTCTTTCTCATCATATC